ACCCATCTCTACTACAAAAACAGCATATTACTACATATTATTGCATAAGGCAGCATAATGGTAGAGACAGCATGTTCCCACTTGCGGTCTGCTCTTCGAGATTTACCGGAGCGTTAGCGAAGGTCCAAATCGCGTTCACCGTACCGAAGCACTACAGATCAACTTGTAATAGTAGATATTAAATTGCAAAACTAATACCATTCCGTGGATTCTTTACTTGGCACTCACGCTTTGAGCAACATCATTGGAGAGTTCCAACACTTTAGCCTTCCCATCTTTGATACTGACCTCTGGAGAGATTTGGATTCTCTTTTCAACGAGTTTACCGTCTTGAAAGATCCAGTGAGAACGTTTAATCCCGGTTGGACTCTTCTTTGCTCCCAACAACCCAATCAACTCTCTCTTTGGATCACACAATAAGTCGTACTGCAAATGTTGCTTGACCTGAAAGTTCTTTTGAGCTTTTGGAGAGTCTGCACTAAGTCCCAACACAAGTGCCTTATCCTTGATGGAGTTGAAGTTGTCCCTAAAGCCACAGGCCTGGCGTGTACAGCCTGGTGTGGAAGCCCTTGGGTACGCAAATATGATGATAATCTTGTTTTCCTTTGCCAATTGCTTCAAGTTCAATTCCTCCTCGTCCTGGTTAAGCAGTGTCAGATCTGGTATTTCATCTCCAATTTCCAACTCCTTGGATTCATCTTTGCTCTCCTTTTCCTCTGCTTTAACCCTTGGCTTTGCAGCCTTTGGTTTTGTAACCTTAGCGGTCTCGAGGGATTCAACTTTTGGTGCTTCCTTCTTCGCAACCCTTGCGGATCTTCTCAACTCAACCATACTGCAGTACAATTGAATAAGTTGTATCTAAACGAGAGATTCAAATCAAGAAATATTAGGTGGATTTTTGGGGGTTGTTCTCTTTTATCAGATTTTGGTGGTGGAAATTAATGTTACAGGTCAGAACCGATGCCACGAGGCGAGGAAGCAGTTCATATGCGTGGCGCGCGCGGTCATCAACAAAAATCGCCAGCCAAACGCCATTCTACGGGGAATGTAATCCCAATTGGGTAATGGAAGCATCTTCTTCTTGAACAGTAGCATCACGTTACCTGGATTTTCGTATAAGCGGCCACCTGTATCGGAGAGATTATGTGGAGAGTGAAGATCTGAATCTCCTATACTAACAAATATGGGCTCGTCTCCGCTTGGTAATATTGTTATGCGCCACAAGTCATCGCACTGCTCTAAAATTTTCTGTGGTGTAATTTTTCTTGGGCTCAAGATCAATGGATAGAAATGACAGAGGAGAAGGAGACGAAAGGATAAGATATGGCAAAGAAAGGTGGGTATCTATGGATGTTTACCTCCTCGAGGGTATAATTACTGACGAATGTGTAGTTTCCAAGCACTCCAGAGCTGCTAGAAGAAATGAGATCCAGGAACCAGAGGCCAAGGCACTGGAAACCCTTCCTAGAGCAGAAAAGACCGACCTAACGTCTGTGATCATCAGAGCCACTGCAAAGAAGAACGAGGATCTACTCACAAGCAAGATGAATAAGAAGGAGAGAAGCAAAAACAAGGTGACAAAGAAGTCTACCCCGGTGACGAACATCAACAAGGAAAGGGTGGAAAGAGCAATCAACTTGAGCGAAAGACTCGAAGGCAAGATCTCAAAGAGCAAGCAGAGGGCAAAGATGGTGCAGACCACCAGAAAGGCCAACTGGGACGTGATCAACTCCGAGGTCAAGATCCACACGGAAACCCTTGAAGCCGCCACCGACGATAAGGACAGTGAAAAGCTCCAAGAGGACTCAATGGTTGATGATTTCTACGAGGTTGAGAAGCCAAAGATCCAAACCGCTAAGAACGCATTCGCGCTATTGGACGAAGTTGAGCTATGATCTAATGAATTTTTATTCACGCAAACCTCCCCTGCACAGGTGCTTTATCATCTTTATCGGTCCGTTTCTGTAGTTTTGTAAAAATGAAAACATGGCACACTGCACGTTTTCACTCTCCAATTTTCTGTCGTTTTTGTGTTTCTGCCGTTTTTGTGTTTTTGTCGTTTTTGTGTTTTTGTCGTTTTTGTGTTTGTTTACTTTTCCGCGAACCCTTCTGCTTCCCCCTTCGTTAACCGTTGACGTGGCGCTAAAGCTTTCACACACCTCTTTTTTTGGTGCCCGTTCTCCAACTTTTTTTCCTCTCTCTTTAGGTCTGTTTTGCCGTTGAGGGCTAACGTTTAGTTGAATACTTGTGCCTTTTATAGATCAATTGACATCTTCCACTGAATCATGAAACTTAGTAACATTGCAATTCCAACAGCTTTGGCTATTTTGGCAAACGCTGAGAAGGCGCCGGTGTTTAAGCCATTCGATAAGTCGCAGTTGTCGAAGAGTTCGTTCTTTGAGCAGTTCGACTCCGATGACTGGTCGCAGTTGTGGAAGATCTCAAAGGCGAAGAAGGATGACGAGTTCAGTTATACCGGTGAGTGGGCGGTTGAGGAGCACAAGATCTTCCCGGGGTTGAAAGGCGATAAAGGTTTGGTGTTGAAGACCAAAGCCGCCCACCACGCTATCCACGTTCCCTTGGAAACACCTTTTGACAACACCGACAATACCCTCGTTGCACAGTACGAGGTTAAGCTACAGGAGGGGTTGTCCTGTGGTGGTGCGTACGTGAAGTTGTTGAGCGCCGAAGGCGGTCCTTCAGATGACGTTGAGTTCAACAACGAATCCCCATACCAGGTTATGTTTGGTCCGGACAAGTGTGGAACTACAAACAAGGTGCACCTCATTCTGAGACGTAAGAACCCAAATACCGGGGTCTACGAGGAGAAGCACTTGGCTGTGCCACCATTGGCTAGAACTGTCAAGACATCGACACTTTACACTTTGATTATCGAGCCAACCCAGGAGTTTGAGATTAGAATCAACGGTGAAGTTGTCAAGGCTGGAAACTTGCTCGATGAAGGAGTCTTTGAGCCATCCTTTGACCCACCAAAGGAGATTCCAGATGAATCTGATGAAAAGCCAGCAGACTGGGACGACAGGGCCAAGATCCCAGACCCTGAGCAAACTGAAAAACCAGAGGACTGGGATGAGACTGCCCCATACATGATCCCAGATCCAGAAGCAGTTAAGCCAGAATCTTGGGATGAATCCGCCGAAGAGTTTATCCCAGATCCAGAGGCTGAAAAGCCGGAGGATTGGGACGAAGAGGAAGATGGTGAATGGATTGCGCCAACCATCCCAAACCCAGAGTGTGAAGCCCATGGCTGCGGCAAATGGATTGCACCAAAGATTAAAAACCCAGCTTATAAGGGTAAGTGGACCCAGCCACTCATTGACAACCCAGATTACAAAGGTGAATGGGCTCCAAAGAACATTGCAAACCCAGATTGGTACCACGATGCTACACCTTCCGATTTGGAACCAATCGGTGCCATCGGATTCGAGTTGTGGTCTATGGATGCTGACATTCTCTTTGATGACATCTATTTGGGCCACAGTGTTGAAGAAGCCGAACTCATTGGTAATGATACCTGGGCAAAGAAGTTCGAATTGGAACAAGACGCAGTCTTGGCTTATTCCGACGATACCAAGGCCAATGATGAGTCTGGAGCTGAAGAAGAGGTTGTTAAAGCCACTGGTGGTGACGATGCCTTTGCTCAACTCCAATCCTTCATTGACGATGCTCAAGAGTATCTCGATTTGTTCATGAGTGATCCAGTCAACACGTTGAGTTCAAGACCTGCTGAAGCTGCTCTTTACGGTGGTCTCTCTTTCATCGTGGCTTCCATTGTCCTCTTTGTTGTTTCTTCGATCTTGAATGTATTCACTCCAGCTCCAACCCAAGCAAAGAAGGAGAAGAACCCAGTTGCCGAAGCTGAGGCCGAGGTTGAGGTTGAACAAGTCGAGACAAAGGAGGAAACCACGTCCACAAGCGTCCAGGAGTAAATAAAAAAGGACACGGAACAGTATCGTTCAAGCCAATGACGTCTGTAGAACGTTTTCGTCTCTTGTTTTTATTAAGCTGTTTCGAAATCTTAGTTCTTCTGTAGGAGCTTTCCACTCATCTGCGATTTGTCAAACCAAGGTTGCTATCCTCCAACCACAGCTGACGCAGCATGTAAGACGGAAGAGGACTGATGACTGTCGTGCTGGTGGATATTATTTCCTCACAAGCTACAGGCTCATGAATTCAGTCGAGGCTTAACACTGTGCACAATGGCTAATAGTCTAACTGCAAAGGCATTAAACTTGCAAAAATTTAACCGACTATACATTGTACTTCAGCTTTGGGTTGTAGAGCCTATACAGCCTCTACTGGGCTGTTTCATCGTGATGCATCTAGACAACATCTTGGTGTGTACGAAGGCTAGAACTGTTACTGCATGTGTGATACGACAAGTACAAGAGAACACAAGCATAAGCAATGACGAGAACCAGCGGGAAACATTTCATTATGACAAGGTGTTCAATTGCAGTATTTTGGTATCACATATCCTTCACCGTTAACTCAAGAGCAGTGCCATCTACGACACATTGCGTTTCTCCTGCAGCGAACACACTAACCAAAATTTCACTTGCTAGAATCCAGATGCATCATAGAGGAAAGCAGCAAGCTCACCAATGTGCTAGCCGTTGCTGCAGCTTTTGTTGGGTAAATTCAGAATTGTACTGAAGTTTCAGCCCTTACATCATGTATTTGCTCACCAAATCGGTAAACATGTGGTTTGTGCTACAAATGAGGTTATTGTTCATGTGTGTAGATCTTATACCCCGTTGTACATCCAGCGCATGAACAACTGATCGTCTCAGAAAAGACTAAGCAGTGCGAGAGGAACTGAAACTTTGGGTGCAAAAGGTAACGAGATATATCAGCACTATGTAACTTCCACTAGAGGCTTCAAAGCTGGGCATAGAACTTTGGCCAAAAAGTCGTCAGATTTCGGAGCTACCTGGAAGTTAAGCCTCTATGAACATTACTCAGGCTTTTGTTGAAAAGCCCCCCATCGGCATTATTTCATGTGATTGCATCTTGGTGTGTTCTGGTGGGCCTGACATCACAAGCACCTCCTCAACTCCCGTAATTGAACGAGCGCATGTGTGGTTCTGCAGTGCTCCATCCTCAATGGTCGTCATGTCCATATTGCTTGCGATTTCGAATGTTGAATGTGCAATTCGCATCCGACGATGTCGATGGATCCGTGAGATTTGAGATACACTATAGGCCATGTTGCACATCGCAGCAATAACCCATCGGAATTATATACCTCAGCAACAAATTGCATAGTGCGAGTGACACACTCGGCGATTAAGTGATCGTCTGTATCGAAATTTGATCAGAAAACGATTATAGCGCTCGAAATGATAATTCCCGCAACTCTATCGCGTTGAGACTGATTTTCAGTTTCTCAGCCCACCAGCACCTTCGCTGTTTTTTTGGAAAGTGCCATTGGAGTAATTGATCAACAACAACGTGGAAAATGCTGAACTTAGCAGCTTATAAGCTGTGACTCTGAATGGAGAAGGATTTACTCGAGATACGTACCTGCTTTTGTTGCTGTGTGTCGTATTCTTCAGCAATGTTCTTTGATTCTGAACGGTGCTGCCAGAACCCCCAGCCTATGCAAGGGAATGCGTTGCACGGCACGTGAATTGTATTCCATTACCTAAAAAATATTCTCTCGGTTGTTCTGCCTACAAATCTATGAAACAGCCGTTGCTTACTGGTTAAAGAACTAATTGTTCATTGGCGAATTGCCTTTGGGCTCCATCTTCTGTGTTATTCATCACGCATTGAACACTCGGTCTGTCGTCCTCAACAAAGCCGGTGTCGTGTTGCTGCTCAGGCGTCAGGGGCGCCTCTCTCTCTCCCCACCGAAACGCACACAAGGGCTTACAAAC